TTTTTTTTTTTTTTTTCGTTTCGAGACTCGGACAAAGTGTTCTTAAAAATTGCGGCCTCCGCTTCGAACAAATCTCCTCGCCAAAGAGTCGCTATTTTTTTGTTATTATCGATGACCGTTGTCGTTGTCGATCGACTAATATACAACCAACAAAATGGCGCCGAGTGTTTCGCACTCCGGCGCCGACAAAGCCGCGTATTCTCAAATGTTTCTCAAGCGACTGACCTCGCCGCCTCTCGTCCAGGGGGCGCGACGTCGCTCCAATTTGAGTGTAACGACAGCAAAAAACCACAGCCTATCTCGGCTGCGTACAAAGGTCGCGAGATTCATATCTCGATAAATTAAGTGACGCTCATCCCCCGTGTCGGGGATGCCGCGCTTCTCCTCAGCGTATGTCCCGCATACGCACAAACTGTTGACCGACCATCATCTCCAGGCCGCCATTGGGCACAAGATCGACGTCGTCCGATATTTTGATTACTTTCTGCTTGAGAAAATCCTCGTTGACATCGCATCCAGGAATGTAGTCGGACACCACGAGGTTCTTCATGTTCAACGCCGGCGGTTGATTTTGATTCTGCGGCGGTCGGTTCCGCGATCGCGGTATCTGATCCTTCGGTTCCATCAAGTGGGCGTGCTTCTTACGTTGATGTTGCAGCAGTTTCGCCTTAAATCGCAATTTTAATTACAATCGCAATTTTAATTTTTTGCCTCAACTCGCTTTGTCTGATTTATCGCACGCGAGAGATCATACCTTGCTGGCATATTGCTTGTGACACCACTGACAGCCATGGGGAACGGTCGTGATGCTGCCCACTGTCTGGCTGAACGTAGGATTCGGCAGACCCAGGAATTCCGATTCCTTCTGCCGATTGCTAGCCGGTAGAGCCGCGCCGGGATGATTCTTCATGATATGTGCCTTACGCTTGCTGCTACTTTTATAGACCTTGAAACGCACATTTAAAAACACGTTAAAATACAAAAAAATTGTTTTATTTCTTGCAAACACGCGTGGGAATTTTATTTTCGAAACCTTGTCGCAATATTGGCAGTAATAGTCTCTGGTTTGTCGCAGAATCGGTAAGTTTAATTCGGGTACGGATTCCGGCGCGACTTCGGGATGCCGCTTCGCCAGATGATTCACCAGCATCCCTCTTCGCTTGAAACCCACCAGACATTGATGGCATTTGTAAATAAAGCGATTGTAATCGTTCGGGTTTACCTGTTAACAGATTGATTCGTAAAACGAGACCGCGCGAATACACGTTAATCATTTCGCAATATTCTCGCGTACCTGTGGCACAAATTTCTTCGTCTGAGTCATCTGTTCTCCGTTAATTGCCTTCGACTGATGTAGTTTAGTCATGTGTTCTTTTAATTTATCTTTTCTCTTAAACTGCTTGCCGCAGTCCGCGCAATGGAATTCTCTGCAAATTCAAGTCAAGAATAATCAGATTTACACATTAAAAATTTGTATATATATATAAACACGTATCGATCTATTAGTTTTATATTATTATAATATAAAAAGACGTGGCAAAAGAGACTGAAAGTCCGTACCTGTGGTCGGAATGTTTCAGCAAATGCATGCGCAATTTGTCAACGGTCGGGAAACATTTCGCGCAATGTTGGCACTTGTGTTTTCTCTCGGAGTGATAAGCCCGTATATGCTTGCGAATAACCGAATACTTGATGAACGTTCGTTGGCAGTGGGGACAGCTGAATATACCATCCTGATTCCTGTGTGTCTCAACGTGATTTTTCAGCATTATGCCCTGACGAAATACCTGTTTGCACATCGGACACTCAAACGCCTGCTCGTTTCCTGCAAAGTTAAATTAAATATTAATATTGGTGAATAGCAATTTAAAAAAAAATAGGATATTTTTCGAACGTGCGACGCGGACTTTTACCTCTGTGCGTTTTCAGGTGACCGGTTAACGCCGAGTTGTTCATAAATCGTTTCATGCAGATGTTGCACGGCAGTGGTTTTTGGTCCTCGGGACTGTGCACCAGGCAGTGCTGTTGCAATCGCATCGGCGTGGCGAAACGCTTGTAGCACAGTGAACATTTGTACGAGCTCAAGGACGTCAGCTTCTTCGTCTTCGTTGAGGCCGATCGTCCGTGTTGCGACACGTGACTCACCAACTCGCTCGGTTTCTCGAACGTTACTCTGCATTGTGGACACGTGGACGTTTGATTCTCGATTTTGGTATTGTTAGACGATGAGTGAGCGATTGCGTGCAGATTGAGCAAGGACAGCTTTTTGAAAATCAGATTGCACACAGAGCATTTCCACTCTTTGCCGCACTTGTTCTTCTGCGAGTTCTCTTTTTCTTTGATGTTTCTGCCGCGGAGCATGTTTATGCGCCGATTGTAAGAGTTGCCGTCAAAGCGCGACCACGAAGAAATTTGATTAGCAACTTCTGGAGAAAAGAAACATTTATTTACGATAAAAAAAACAAAACAAAAAAATTGGCGCAATACGCGATACAATATTCCAATCTTTCGCACCTTTCTCATCCTTGGCGTCTGGTTTAAGTATCGGCAAATTCCTACGATTTGCGTAGCTTGGACCAGGACCCGCCTTCAATTCTTCCTTCGCTGAAATATTTCTATTAGTCAAAAACACTATTCCGTCCTTCTGCTGGCAAATGATTAAATTTTGTTCTTTGTACGTCAGTGCGGGTCGAACGAAACGCATCCAATTTGATGTGTCTGTAGAATCGAAATAAAGTTGTTTGAACAATATAAATCAAGAGAAGAAACATTTGAAAAAAAAAAAAAAAAAAGCGCGATTACTCACTTTCGTTGGAAACATCTACTTTCAGAAATTCGCCGCTCTCAGTTTCGTAGAGCAGCGGCAAAGCGTTCTCGAAGGACGAACCGTCGTAAGGACAAAGTACGCCTTCTATCGGACCGAACTGCGTGCGCCGACGAATATTGCGCTTCGCAAAAACCCCGAAGATCACGTCGTCGTTCGAGGTGGATAGTTTGTTTAACGAGAGATACGATCCTGGCAGTGTTGCTACGGCACGCGAAGGTACCGGTTGATCTGCGATTGTGCACACGTCGTTTAAATTACCGTCATCTTTGGCGCAATTGCCGTCGTATTCGTCGCACCCTTTAAATAGAAACACACGCGGCATTGCATTACAATCAGATACACTAGAGATACACAAGTGTGAAAGTATTTATTGAGAAACCACATGTTTGAAATAATTTTGATTACTCACATAAATCGTTTTTATCTGTCAAACGTCGTTTGGATTTCCTCACTTCTTTCTTTTCAATCACTTTCTTTTTCTCATCGGATGGCGATGTCTTGCCATCTTGTTGATCCTCTTTGTCATACTCTGCCATAACAAGATTATTGTTCTCTTTATTCGTATCTTCCGTCACAGACAACATGTTAACAGGATTATCCTCCATCTCTATGTTTTGATTCTTGAACGTATTGATAACGTTTATTTGATCATCTTGCATCACCAGAAAATCCCTGGTCAGAGTAAAATCTGTGCTTGGGATCCCCGTCAGCATCAATGGAGTTGCCGAAGACTCCAATTCGGGTGTAGTTTCTGTAAATATTATAAATTGAGAAAAAATAAAGAAAACCCCAGAGAAACAGATAATCCACACAGATTACATATGTGTGTTTTAAATCACAAATCGATCTCTCTTACCCTGCATTAAAATCAGTTCGTTGCCGGACACCAATCCCTCCTCGTTCCCATTGCCAACAAAGTCTGTGGTTGTGTCTGTTTGAGGTACAGTCTGACCGTCAATCGGATGAGCCAACTGGGTCGCGTAATTGATGTTCGTCCTGATGTTTGGTTCGGGCTGAGATATCAAGGGAGAGGAAGGACCTTGGAGCACAACAACGGGATTCGGGAAGGGGGAAGGAGGCAGCTGAACAGGCGTGGGAGAATATCTGGCAGCTGAGCTCATATTTGGATCCAGTGGACTGACCCGATGCTCGAATTCAGACAGGGGAGAGGGTGGTCTCGGAGAGAAGGAGATGTGCTCATACGCGGGAAACAAACGGTTCTGATCCTCCACATATTCCACCTGATGACAGAAAAGTCTCGTAGAGATACTCGTCTCGTTGACCTCGCATCGTTGTACGTTGTCAATTCAGTGTCAATCGTAAAAAATTACTCACGGTCAAAAACAAAAGTCTGTTGTTGAGCTTTTTCGGTTGCTCGCACATCGACGAAGCGAAAGCGTGATCAGTAGGCCAATTCACTGAGATGTCAGCCCCCTTGTCGATACAGGATATCTCGAAGGACTCGGCAGGGGCCCCCTCGGGAGGGCCCCTCGAATCCATCTTACGCTACGTAGCGCGCCAGACAAGTCCGGATGCCTCGTCGCCTATTGAAGTCACATTCAACGGATCTGGATGAGTGACTGGCAGACTACGAAGGGACCAAATAATCGCTTTAACCCCGTCGCTACGCGATTCCCGACGGTGAGATCAGCGTGTCTAGCGAACGACATGCGGCTCGATTGGCAAAACGAGACAGAAGCGGGTGTGCGTTAAGCGAGCGTCACGGTTAGTTCGAACGAGAAGACTTACCAGCCTCGACATATAGGTTTTTCGGAGTCGATGTACCACTCTTGGCGCTTCTGTGTGGTGCACCTGCTGCTGCAGAGAGAAGCACTGGCTCATCAACAGTCGAGGTTGCCCGCGCATCGCGACCGGGCGCTGCGCAAATGGCGGGAAACTGAAACGCCGAGTCGCGGAAATTTATTTTCTTTTTTAAATAGAAAAAGATAGAGAAGAAGTTATTTTGTCTCGTAAATCAATTCAAAGTCGATAAATGCCTCCGCGCCATCTTTATTAATAACTTTATAAGTAAGTCGTACGTGTAAACAAATAAAAACTGAAACATTTCTGCAAAAGCGCTGTATACTTTGTTTTTTACTACAATTTATTCGAGATGTTATAAACTGTAAAAACAAAACCATTCCCTTTATTACAGAAATTCATTTCTTTTAATTAACAAAAATAAAACAACGAAATATACGCGATAGCGCCGCGTATGTTTACGGCGTTATTTTTATTCCCATTTCGCGCGACAATTATTTTTTTTTTCCTACTCCTCTTCCATCACTCTATCGAATCTTTCAAGGGTTAGGCCGTTTACCTTGGAGGGTCGGGGAACTCTCTGAAACTTCCCTTAACAACAGAAAACAAACCACGCATAAACACAGAAGTTGGCACAAGCCAGACGACATAAACAGATCAATACCGGGCGACAAATATATTGTGACAATATATCACTTCTCAAACTCGTGCGAACATGGTGCAGTTCGATGAAGCGAGGAAGTTAATGGACGAGATGATGAAGGTGACAATTTTCCAGCCAGCCGATAAACGGCGGATGTCGGAGGATGTGAGAAAAGCACTTCTCGATCCGAATTTGATCATGGACGCGAGGCACAAGATATATCGCGAAAATCCGCGCGTTTCTTCAGTAAGAGCTTCGGTGTTAACGGAAGCACAGAGGTATGTTGTTTTTTTTTTCTTTTTAATATAATTCTATGAATAAAAAAATATAGAAAGTGTATATAAAAAGTAAATAAACTTCTCATCATCAACGTGTTCCTTGTGGAAATAATTGCAGAATACTAACGCAGGAGGAAACGAGAGAGTTGCAAATGAAGAAGGAACAATCCTTCATAGACAGGGAACTACGCAGGTTTGAGCAGGATCTGCGAAAATCTCGGCCAAAATTTTTTCGCAAATCCTGCAGCAAGAAGAGCATAGCCAGCTCGGACGACGAAAATTTCTGGGGAACAACCAGCAGACTCAAGGTAAAATTTAATAAGCGAGATAAGTTTCCTTGTTTTTCTTGAAATTTATCTTGGGAATGTAATTGTCTCGCTCGGAAAAAACTGTTTTGTTTAAAGAAAAATAAAAATTATTTTTATCTAAAATAAAACAGTTCAATAAAGTATAAAATTGTTTGATTAAAAAAATTACGCTCAAAAAATTGTATAGCGGAAAATGTTTTGATTTTTAATTTTTCATTTGCGAGTTGGAGCTTATTTTATTATTGATTCGCAGCGGATTACTCTAAATATGAAGAAATGCGAGACAGCCGAACAAAAAGTCTCGATTATCCGAAAGAAAACTAAGCGAGTTAATATTTCCTCAAATGTTGAATCAGCGGATATCGCGCAACGTCCGATACACGAGGTCGAGAGAGCGCTCTTCGGTAGCATCAAAGTGACGATCAAGGACAAACGATCGAGCTGCGAATCGCGTGAATCTCGTGAATCGCGCGTTTTGCGGTTGTGCTTCGAGGTTCTTCGGGAAAACGCGCGGGACAGGCGACGTCTTCGCGAGATCAGGGCCAGCATACAGAGCGTCGCGTCTCGACGAAAACTGAAATCGTGCGTTCGCGCGTGGAAAACGCACGTGGAAAAAGCGAAGGCTGAGCGGGAACGCGTCGCGGAGAATTCCGAAATGCAAAAAATCAAGACGCTCATCGACGTTATCGCGGAAACGCAGAAGGAACTGAAGACGCGAAAAACGGAGACGATGAGAGGAACCTCCGCGAGGAATATAGAAGAGAAGAAGAAGATTTCGTCGAGGCCGTGCGCCATCGTCGAATCGCCGGCGCAGAATCGACTGAACGCGCAGAAAGAGATCATTCGCAAGCAAAAGCTGAAACTGGCCGAGCAAGACAAGATCATCGAGGAACTGACGTTGAAACAGGTGCGGGAGGAGATAATGAAAGCCAGCGAGGAGACGATGAACGCGGCCAAGGAGACTCTGACTCACTGCGGTCAACAGACCAGAAGAACTCTGATCCAACTGATGAGACAAGCGGGCTACAGGTCTAGATAAACATTATGAACGTGTTATATTCAAACTTTAACAGACATTTCTAATTACAAGTCTTGATTACAAACAACTTGCTCAGTTTGCTATAACTTGCTCGGTATTGATATAAATTAGATCTAAATTTCTAATTTTGTGTAATTTAAGTTGCGAGATCACGAGTCTCAGTTCGTGGCGTAGGGACCAACACTAGGATAGAAGTTAGCGTTGAATTAAAGCGGATCGTTTTGTCTTGTTTGGTCTCTTTCCGCTAGTCTCTGCTTAAAGAGACGTTCGGTTCTTTATCTTAAGCGGCAAATTAAATCGAGCCCAAGTTACACGAGCGTTAATTCCACGCCGAGGAGATTCTTAATTACATGTTTCCCCTTTAATTAACAGAGACAAGTCTCTGACGGCGCCTGTACGGGTGCCAAGCCCGCCTAGATTTCTAGCGAGGATGGAGGCGCGGGCGGAAGCGAGGAGAAACAGAGTTAAGCTGCGCGAAGAAGCGCGGCGGAAGAAGCTGGAGGACGAACGGAGGAAGGAAGAGGCCGCCAGGCAGGAGGCGGAGCTAGAGAGGAGAAGATCGCAACAAGAGGTCAGATAATATATATAACATTAATATGAGAGGTCAAAGTTATATTAATACTTGGATATCGTGTCGTACACTTGGCTTTCGTTATAGAGCTTTTACCTTGCGGGTAAATTTATATCCCGCGCTCGTTCGCGTTTTTTTTTTTTTTTTTTTCCCCTAACAAAATGTTACATTGCGCGTTTAGCACCAAGACATTAAATTTTATTTTTCTCACAACAGTACTAGGATATATTATATATATATATATAATATTTTTTGTACTTTATTCTACAATACAATAAAGTACTGTTTTGTTTAATGCCGCTTAATTGTTACGCTACTTAGAAAATAATAACGCACGTTTAAAATCCTGATATCTGTATCCTCCAGGCTTTGCGCGAAGCGAAAAGACTGCGCGAGGAACGTGAGCAGCAACGAGCGCGCGAAATCGAAAGGTTCAAGAACCTAAATGCCATGGCGGAAGAGTTTTATCGCAAGTACTTGTTGCGACGTTACATCATGGATCCGTTTGTCGCGCTCGTCGAAACGAAGAACAATCATATGAGCAAAGCCGAGACCCATCACAAGCAATCCTTGATGCGAAAAACGTTCGCGGATTGGCGAACGGAGACGGAACGTCAAATTCAGATCGGGATCGAGTTGGCCGTGTCGCTTCACAACAGGAACCTGCTGTGGCGCGCGTTGCAAACGTGGAGAGAGATGACGCGAGACGAGAAGAGGAAGGCGCAAGTGGCTAGAGACTTTTCCGACATGAGATTGCAGAGCAAATGCTTTAAACTGTGGAGAGTGAAGACCGTGGACTACAAAACGGAACGATTGCGGAGAGAACGTCTGGTCTCGGAACACTACGAAGAGAAATTGAAAACGAGATACTTCGGTATGTGGAGGAGATATCCGAAATTGATGCCGGACATCAGGGAGAGCGAGCGAATAAGGGACGCGTGGCGACAAGCGGTGCGAGAAGTGATTCCGGATTTTGATCCCAGGCAAAGAGGTGTCATATTAGAAGACTAATTGCGTACAGTAACGAATTTGGAGAAGTAACATTAGGTTTTTTTCTCACTACCGTTCGACAATCTTTGGCCTTGTGTGTCCGGACGAGGTAAATAGTCTCTTATCTCTAAGATACACGTAAGATCGAACAGTATATTCCTCTACGCGTTCAACAACGAAATGCCATGGCATTCGATAAACCTGTACATTTGTTGTTTGTAGATTGTTCTTCTTTCACTTGGACTTGTACATCCCTTAGTATACAGACTGGTAATAATTTATTATATTATTCGTACAATGGCCACTTTATCACAGTTACAATAAATATACAAATGGTACGCACACTGTTTAACATTAAGAGAAATAACGAATGTAATGGGAATCTGGTGCTTTATCTGGTGATATGTCGCTGAGAGAAAGATGATCGAGTATACGCAAAAACGTCATACGGAAAAACGTACGCGCCGCACCTGCGACGATGAGTCGACGAATCCGTGTCGCGTGTAAAGATAGAACGCAGAAGTTGAAAGGATGAGGAAAGAGTTGCGCGACGAAACTTAATACCTAACATGTATTCCCCACCTTGCGCTTTGTTTCTCGAACGGACGCGAACGACTATCGACGCACAATTCACGACAGATTTTGGCCTTAATGTTGTCTTAGTTTGTTCTAAAATTTGATTTCAGTAACATTGTTTTTTCTTTTTTTTTTTTTTGTTTTGTTTTTGTTTTTTGTACGGGCGTGTAGTACATGTACACTGTGCGAAGTAAACCCGAAGTAGACCCCTAGCTTAGCTTACATTATAATATGTACACAATAATTCTTTAAGTTTTACAACAGAATAGCCGAGACACGTTCCTCAGCATTCCGTGATCGTACTGACTTTCGGTGTTTAATCGCCGCTCGTTCGACGTCGTGCCGATAGAGAGCAGCCATAGATGATACAGGAGGTAAGCGAACACCACCACGCCGACGAGGAGGCTGTAAACGGCGGAGACGAAGCAAAGAGCGAGGCTGCAACAATACGGACGTTTATTACGCGATTATCATCGACCGACCTCCGGACGAATGTCCCGAGCGCGGACACAGTTGCGCGACATGTTATCTATATCGGCTACTTTTATGTTCTTTTCGTTATACAAAAGCAAATGAGAGATATTGCAATATTTACGATGTGCTCCGTGCTCTTACGGAGCTCGTTATTATTATCGTTTTTTTTTTTTTTTTTTTCGTCTTTTTCGCGCAATTATTAAAACTTCACAGACTCTCCCTGTATCTTTCCAGTTTACTTCACTGGGTGTCCCCCTATCAGCGATCGCACGGGAAGTGCGACCGATATATAAATACTCTCACTTCTCGTTTTATCTCGTGGAACGATTTCAAGAACTTCTTAGCCTATTCAGCGCGTTTAACATTGTGCGGTCAAAGTACAACTGGAAAATAATATAAATTTGCATGAAATACATACTCTAACTGATGATAAACGTCGCTGCAGTCATCAGGCAGAAGTATGGTGCCAATGAGTATGAACGGATGACAAACGCTCGTCATAGTCAGGTTGGAACCATAAATAAAAGCAAAGGCGGAAAAAAATAAACAGCCCAAATACCAGCCTAGATTGCTGGAACCTATGCAGCAGTCCAGCCTGAAAAATAAGAGAGAAAATCGATTCAAAGTTCTACAATTAAAAATAATTTATAGTTCCAATGTAGAACTAAATTGTATAATCAAATACTTTTTATCAAAGTATCAAGTTTGTACCATTTGCAATGATATTCTCTGTTAAGTATACAAGTTTGGCATAAGCGGCAGTGATAAGCCTTTGGTGGCGCTCTTCTCCTGCACGTGGCGCAGAGCTCGCCGCTGCCTTCGCCCAGTTCCAATCCCTGCAAACTGACGACGCCTTCCTGCGCCGCCGCGTCCGCCTTCTGCTTGGCTTTGTAGCCGCACCATATGCCGCCGACCACGCAAGCTATGAACACCGCGTTCTCTTCGGGCAGAATTTCAAGAAGCGGCACGACGCTCATCTCGAACACCAGCATAAGCATCAGCACGCTCGTGATCGTCCACATGAGGAAGAACTTGGTGCGCAGCAAAAATCTGAGAAAATTGTGATGCAGATAATAGACGAGAATTGGCGTGGCCAGGAACACGACGACCGTGCAGAGGACGGCCTGGGCGGCTATCACCGCGAGAACCGGCACCACCAGAAGCGGTAGCATCGCGTCCACGGAGATCTGCTTGGCGCCCGCGCGCAAGCCGCACGGATTACGCAGTCTCTCCCATACGGTCATGCTTCGTCGTCCAAGGCTTGGGAGTAGATTTTTTTCTCACACTGGCATGTACGAGAGGCGCATCGGCGACGACGGCTTTTTTGAGGTTAGACCGACTCCATTGACGTTTCTCCAACCGGGCCGGTGGTGACAACATGGAGCAACGCACGCGCCTCAGGTGTTTCCTCGAGGGTCTCCCCCCTCCCCCCCATTCCTCGAAAGACAGATCCGAGGACAGGTGGCAGCACTACGTTATTTAAAAACTCGGATCACTTTTCCTATTTTTAGAAAAATTGTTGCTGTATTTTAATGTACGCACAGCGCGTACAAGTGTACCTGCTCGGCTCCAATCGCACGTGTCGCTCGCCGGTTGCTCGGCATCTGATCGAAATAGGAACGCGATCGGACGCAACATTGTTCTGTTCCGATTCTCCGCATCCTGCTGTTGAATCTTCGGCGAGTGCCGCGGAAAGCGAAAGTGTTCGGGCTTTGCGCGCTGCAGCAGCGCTGCGTTCCGCAGCGGCGAGCTAAGTGTTCGCGTGTGTGTTGTGTTGTTCTCTCAGTGTGATTGACAGTTGCGGCGAGCATTGATCAAGGTACGGACGTGCGATCGAATAAGCCGATCACTTGCGATGTTTCCGACATCCGTCTGATCAAGAACACACTTGGCTGTCGTGAAAATCCAGTAAGGTTCAGTACAGGTCTCTGACACTTGAGTCTCTGTTTTTTTTTTTTGGACCAGCGTAGTGTTACACCTACCGCACTCACCAAGCGAGATAAAAACATATCTCGGAGAGAAGAATGGGAGATAGTAACTTTCATTTTTTTTGAAAAAATGTGAAAAGTGCAATTACCACAAGAGGAGCCTTAGATCTTGAATTTTGCACGCGTGTGCGTATCTGTCGCAACGATATTGTTCTTGTCTCGAAGTCGCAAAAGTAAACAATCCAAAATGTGCTTGCACTTTTCACACTTCGTTGTTGTTTTTTTTTTCTTTGTTTGACTGTTTGACTGTCAAGCAAAGCGCGAATCCCCGTGCTCTCCTCTCACTCGTGCCGAAAGTTACCAACAAATGTCAATGTTGTTTTGTTGCAACTGTGTGTGTGTAAGAACTGAATCTGACATCAGTTTTTGCATTGAGCAAATGAAACACAGACAAATCTTGTTTTCTCGCGCTCATATCGCGCTTCTTGGCACTTTTTAAACGTCAATCTACAAATATAAATTTTTACATGCTTCTAATCTTATATGTGTGCAGAAAATATATACATTTGTGCAATATTTGTGTAATATTTTGTTTTTCAATTGTAATTTAATTTTTGTTCGGTTTATTTCCTCAAATCTCCGGTTTGTTCATCTCACGTGCGAAATATATTTGAGTTCAACTTGCTCGCAATTTTTTTTTCTCTCTCTCTTTCTCTCTCGGCTGAAGTCGGTCACAAAAAAAGCGCGGGAACGAGAGCGAGTTACGAAAACATGGTGGCGAGAGCGCGAAAAAAAAAAACTCGATGTGAGAAATCGGCGCGGTCTTAATTATATCGACTTTGTACGGCAAACAGTTAACGAAGGTCAGCTTTTATCATCGACGGCGATTCGCTGTTTATCGACGTCGTCGTGATCACAAAAAAAACCGTGTACATAGCGATTATACACTAATTATAGAATGGGCTTGCGCGCGAGAAAAGAGCACGCACGGACTCAATCATTGTTCACTTGCTTCATGTGCGATCGAATCGCGTTAAACATATCCCGGTAACATATCCGAGCGAATTATCTCGGCGGATGCGCGAAATTGATGCCCTCGAGGATTCAATTCGCGACGACGAAGGTGACGCGACGAGCGGAAATGTTTTGAGGTAAAATTTAAAAAAAAAAAAAAGGACTCTTAAGTTTTTTTGTAAGAAACAAGAGATAAACCGGCCGGAGAGTCAGACATTATTCAATTAACAAAAAAACCCAAAGCGAGAAATGTGTTGAAATAATATAATGTACACAGTAAAAAAAAAAATGTTAATTTTAACATTTTTTGCATGTCCCAGGAGGTCCACTCTAAATTGTAAGTTAAAACAACTTATTCGTTGTGAGTCACTTATTGACAAACTAGTAAAGTCAAATACTTGACACAATACTTTACATTTATA